ACATGTTAGCATCCTGGTTCTGCCACTTACTAGGTGTGGGACCTTGGGAAAAATTCTTTATTTGATTGTCATTAACCTCGTTCATAAAAATGGTACTAATGCTACCTCTCAGGTATATGTAATGAACAAAAGTAGTGGGAAATGTGAAAACATTTGCTACTAGGACTGAAGATGTCCTGTAGGAACATAGCAGTTTGGCACATGAGACTTTCTGGTGAAATTTTAAGTGTTTTGACCTAGAATTTATTTTGGTTATAGATCACAAACTGTGCCGGTCAGTGTGACATTGAATATACAAGATGAGATCCTATGCTATAGTAGTAGGAACAGAAAAAGAAAGAGCAAATACTTCTCACTATAAATGCTTTCTATAAAGAAAATAGAAAATGTTAGAAGATATCAAGGAAGCTTGTAGTTAGGATGGGAATGGGAGAGGAATGGAAATGTGTGGTCAGAGAAGGCCTCTTTGAGTATGATATTTAAGCTGCCAACTTAAGGATGGGAAAGAGCCAGCCGTGTGAAAGTCTAAGAGGTGGAAATTCTGAATGGAGAGAACAAGGGATCACATCTATTCATCATTTTGCTCTTAACACCATGGAATGGGCAGAAAGCCATCATCATAATTATTTTTTATGATTATAGTATGTGCAACAAATATGAAATAGAATCCTGGCACATTTTATATGCCTCCTAAATAAATGTTCTTTTTTTTTTTCTTTTAAAGAAAGCTTGCTACATTTTTGAAGTTCATTGTTTCTCTCTCTCTTTTCTTCTTTCTTTCTTTTCTCTCTCTCTCTCTCTCTCTTTCTTTCTTTCTTTCTTTCTTTCTTTCTTTCTTTCTTTCTTTCTTTCTCCGCCTTTCCTTTCCTTTTCTTCTTTTCTTTTCTTTCTTGACAGGGTCTCATTTTATTGCCTGTGCTAAAGTGCAGTAGTGCAGTTTCAGCTCACTACAGCCTTGACCTTCCGTGGTAATGTGATCCTTCCATCTCAGTGTTCTGAGTATCTGGGATTACAGGCATGCACCAGCATGCCCAGCTAATTTATGTGTCTTTTGCACAGTTGGGTTTGACCATTTTTCCCAGGCTGGTTTCAAACTCCTGGGCTCAAGCAATCCACCCACCTTGGCCTCCCAAAGTCTTAAGATTAAAGGTGTGATCCACTGCCCCTGGCCTGATGGATGCAGCCAATCACCATGGCACATGTATACCTATGTAACAAACCTGCATGTTCTGCACATATACCCCAGAACTTATAGTATAATAAAAAAATATACAAAATAGTTGCACAGTTGATCACATATTTGCTTGCTTTTATTTAAATATAACAAAAATTTTATTACTGCATTATCATTCTAGTTAAACTTTTTTTTCTATCAGTAAAGATTTTATCAAAAAATATGTAGGTTTCTTCAAGTATTTGTTTACCTAAATGAAGCATTTTCTATGGTGTTCTATTGATGCTCAACATGACATATTTCCAAGTTTTCTATCATAAATATCTTAACACTGAAATATTTATATGAGGATATTTAAAATTTTTTAGTATTGTATTATACCAAGTTAAAAAAAATATATATATATATAAAATGTGTGTGTGTGTATATATATGTATATATATATGTGTATATGTGTGTGTGTGTATATATATATGTATATATATGTGTGTGTGTGTGTGTGTATATGTGTGTGTGTGTGTGTGTGTGTATATATATATATATATATATATATAAAAGTTTTTGAGATGGAGTCTTGCTCTTTCACCCAGGCTGGAGTGCAGTGGTGCAATCTCCACTTACTGCAACCTCTGTCTCCTGGGTTTAAGCAATTCTCTTGTCTCATCCTGGGACTACAGGTGCGCACTACCAATCTGGGCTAATTTTGTATTTTTGGTAGAGACTTTGCTAAGGTGGAGATTGCAGTGAGTTGAGATCATGCCACTGCATTCCAGCCTGATGCCTGGTGACAGAGCGAGACTCTGTCTCAAACAAAACAAAACAAAAACAAACACAAAACCAGGAGTTTGAGACCAGCCTGGGTAATATAGTGAGACCTTGTCTCTACAAAAATAACAACAAAGAAGTAGCCTAGCATGATGGTATGCACCTGTAGTTCCAGCTACTCAAGAAGTTAAGGTGGGAAGGTTGCTTGAGGTCGGGAGGTTGAGATTGCAGTGAGCCATAATCATCCACTACATTCCAGCCCTTGGTGACAGAGTGAGACCCTGTTTCAAAAAAAGAAGAAAAAATTGATAAAGTCTTTATGCAACTCATTATAATTTTTTAAATGGAAACTCATGTTTGATATTACCTCAACAGTGTGTCCCCAAGAAAGTATCAGAGCCTTTACCTAGACCTTCCAATGAAAAAAAAAAAGTATAGTCAATGTAAAAGGAGAAGATAAGAATACTATTTTATTTAAAAAGTCATTTGATCGAATGCTTTTTAAAAAAAATACGAGCACTAATATATTCAAATAGCTAAAGAAAATGTTCTATTAAATGTATAATAAGTAAAGGAGAAGTAAAATGGTGATAAGTTTTATATCTAATCAGGGGTCAGCAGTTGAGTCTATTGAAAGTACCCCCCGGCCGGGCGCGGTGGCTCAAGCCTGTAATCCCAGCACTTTGGGAGGCCGAGGCGGGTGGATCACGAGGTCAAGAGATCGAGACCATCCTGGTCAACATGGTGAAACCCCGTCTCTACTAAAAATACAAAAAAAATCAGCTGGGCATGGTGGCGTGTGCCTGTAATCCCAGCTACTCAGGAGGCTGAGGCAGGAGAATTGCCTGAACCCAGGAGGCGGAGGTTGCGGTGAGCCGAGATCGTGCCATTGCACTCCAGCCTGGGTAACAAGAGCGAAACTCCGTCTCA